CCTATATTGGCAGTTTGTCAGTCACTTTCTTCTGTGTCCTGCAGAAAGTCTGGCAGACTCTTTCATGAAGCAGGAACCCTGAAGGATCATCTCACCTTTAAGCAAGTTCAGCAGTCATTTCTCTGTGGGTCCTGCATGTCCAGTTAAGCAATCCAGGAAAGAGCAGTTTCTTGCCCAAATGGCTAGCAAACTCCATAAGGAGCCTCTTCAGTGCCCATCTTCCTCTTGAAGTAATTGGTGCTGCCAGGAGCAGATGTGTCTCATATCATGAAAAGTCTTAAGTTCTTAAAACATTTTAAATGCCATATTTAAGGGTGTGAAGAATACCCATCTAACTGAAATATGTCTCTGTATATCTAGAAAACCTAACATAACTACGAACTTGACTATTATAGATGATTATCTACTAACCTATATTTCTTAATTATACATTGCATTTTAAATGAGCTGCACAAACATAATACCTTAATCAAGAGCAGAAATATACATATAACAAAAATTGACCTTAAATTTATATCAATAAACCAAGATCCGTACCAATGCGAAGTATTCTCTATAGCATGTCCCTTCCCCTCTTTTTTTTTTTTTTTCGTTTTTCGAGACAGGGTTTCTCTGTAACTTTGGTGCCTGTCCTGGAGCTAGCTCTTGTAGACCAGGCTGGCCTCGAACTCACAAAGATCCGCCCACCTCTGCCTCCTGAGTGCTGGGATTAAAGGCGTGCGCCACCACCGCCCGGCTCCTTCCCCTCTTTTTTTAAAGAGAGAGATTGATTGTGACCATTTAACCATTTATATTCAACCCCCTTTTAATGAAAACAAACATTTATAAATAATCATTTTGGGAATTTGGGCATAGTTTTCTTCAAACTGCTTCCTGATTTTTATTGGGCAAAGTATTTTCTTTTGGGGAATTCATAGAGACTTTTCGGGGAGGGTGTCTTGTTCCATAAAACCACATTAGTCTGGCAGGGAATCCACAGGTTCTCATCCTCTGTGGCAACAAAAGCAGAACCTGTTTTTCAAAGCAACATAGCCTTTGACCTAAATTTTGAAGTCAAGATACCTTTAAAACATATATGTTGGTTTAGCTTAGCAGGCCATACAAGAAATGTCTCTCTGTACTTAGCTCATTCACAATCAAAAAATTCAAAGAACACACAATAGTATATATAATCCAGACTCTCTGTGTATGTTTCATCTCTACATGGCTTATTTTTCTTTACTCCTTTAATCTATGACTGTCTGTTCTCTGTCTTTTTAAAGACTTTGTTATATTTATTTATTTATTCATTTAAAAGCCAATTATTTCTTTTTATAACTTTCTTCTCTCCTCCAAGCCTACATACATTTATCCAACACCATGACCCATTTAGAGGTCTGTTTCATCTGGCTTTGACTTTATAGCATGTGTATCTGTAATTATCTTTTGACCAGGAGCACTTTTATTTTAAATGCTAAGTGGGCGTGGCTAGGGCCAACTTTCACAGCATTGCCTGTTGGCTCTGCCCAGTTCAACACGTCAGAGGTATGTTTGCTGCCTCTGAGAGCCATGCATGCCACCCCATCTCCAAGGTTGCAGCGGGTCTGTGTCGTCATTAAGTAACTAGTAACATGCTGCTCACAAACCCCATTTAAGTGTTCGGCCTCTCGAAAGAGCCAGAGCTGTTCCTGCAACTGGCATGAGCCAGAAGCCGCAGTTTCTTAAAGAAGTCACGTGGTTTTGAGCTGCCACGCTCCTGCTCACCATCAGCAAACAGAGCCCATCTGAAAAAAAATTGCCAGCTACCAAGAAGCCATGTTTTTATGTCTAGAGTTTCTTTCCAAGCTTTCTCAGGTTTTACATGGATGCAGTCAGCCCCATGCTGGACACCAGATGAAGATGTAGGCTATAAAGTAATCCAACACTAGCTCAGAATTGAATGTAATAAAGGGTTGTTTATTTAGGGGTTAACTCACAGATCAAAGACCTCTGCATGAACGGGGAGCAGTCAGGAGAGAGAGAGAGAGCATGCACAAGCTTTATGGCTGTATTTATATTATAAGAGACCACGCCCAAGTGGACTGGTATCCTAAAGACTATTGACTGAAGGAGTTCCCACAGCACCTCCCCCTTTTGTCTAAATAAGAGAGTTCTAAGCCTAATACAAAAGTATATACAATAAGAACAATTATGAGGTATAAAAATTAGAATTACAACCAGCATAAACAGTATCAAGCATGAAACATGTGATAAATGTTTCAATAATTATCTTATCCTAAGGAATCTAAGTCTTGTATTAGAAATGGCTTGGCCAAGTCATGAGAGGAAAGTAACTATGACTATCTATGACTAACTATGATGATAGTTCTCATCAAAGACTTGAGAAGAGAAATAATATTAATTGAGTAAACAGGAAGTGCAATCAAGCAGCTTCCAAAATATGCAATAAATGGCAGAGACAACTGTCTACCTGGGCAATCACCCAAAGTCTCATTTACAAATGTTGGAGGAACCAACTTTGGCTAAGGCCTAAAGTAACTGACAGACCATTTTCAGAGAAAGAAAAATTTTCAGATCCATCTTACCCTCTCTTGGCAAGGTTTGACAGTCTTTTTTCTTGTATCCTGCTTGTCCTGTCTGGATACCATGCATTTTTGTCATTGGTTGAGGCATGGGTAGTTCAGTGCTCAATTGATTGAGGAATAGATTGGCACTGCCACGTTGGGCGCCATTCTGTTGGTTGAGGCTGTTCGTTGATTTCTGGGCTGCCCAGACCTGAGATAATCACTTAGAAACTATATTAATTACGATACTGTTTGGCCAATAGCTTATGCATATTTCTAGCTAGCTCTTATGTAAAAGGAATGGCGGGCTGCTTCCTGCCGCCCGCCTGGCTAACTCTCTTTTAAACACTGCCTGGCCCATTACCTCCAGCCTCTTATTGGCTAACTTTCACATATTGATTCAACCCATTTCTAATAATCTGTATCTCACCACCAGGAAAGATTCAGCATGTCTGACCTGGCAGCTGGTTCTGTGGCGTCTGCCTCATTGCCTTCTTCCCAGCATTCTGTTCTGTCTATTTCACCCACCTATGTTCTGACCTATCAGGCCAAGCAGTTTCTTTATTAACCAATGAGAGTAACACATAGACAGATGACCCTCCTGCATCACATATGCTTGCAAGTGCCTGAGGGGCTAGAAGGAAGTATGGATCCCTTGGTGTTGTGTGTGGCTGTGAGCAGCCTCATGTGGATGCTGGGAACAGAACCCAGGTCCTCTGAAAGACCAGCAGGTGCCCTTAGCTGCTGAGCCAAGCAGCACCTACTTCTCTTTCTCTCTTGCCTCCATTTTATCTTTTTAATTTTCTTCCTTTGTATTTCTTGGTAAATATAAATTTTTTTCTGATCCTAATTGTAAAATTTGAGAATTAATTGAAAAAAATCTAACATTCATTTGTTCATTAATTTATCCAAAAATATTTATTGATCATGTCCTGTGTTGTAGTCAGTGAACCAGGCACTAAGAATGATCCCAAGCTATAAAAGACAAGAGATTGAGTCTACATTCAGACCAGAAGACCTACAGGAAGCTTTCATTCATAGAAGCATGCACGTCCACGGGTTGCGGGTTGGAGGGGGATTCCACTTGCAGAGAGAATCAGGGATGCTCCCTTGGAGGATGCACAATTTAACAATGGTGTCACAGGACTGAGAAATGGACCAGAATCATGCAGAGTTCTGAAGCTCAGTCCAGGAACGGGAAGTATTTCCCTGAGTATGGGATAGACAGTGTGTGGGGGTAAATAGCATGAAGCATGGCTGGGAGGACTGGCCATGCCTTGGGCAGCTTACTGTTGGGCAAGGGGATGAGATGGGACTTGTCAGGGAATCAAGGGCAGTGAAGACTTCCAGCAGGGAAGGAGTTAAATCTTACCCACGGGTACACGGATTTTGTTGGATTATTTATAGACAGGTCTTACTGTATTAACCCAGGCTAGCCTTGAACTCTTGGTCTTTCCTCCTCGGCTTCCCAAGTGCTGGGATTATAAATGCTACCTACCATGGCCGTCTTGGTATACTGTTGAGGACTGTTAGGTCTCTTGTGTGTGGAAGGAGCGGGCACGGAGACAGCTGAGCAGTCATGAGTGCTCTGATGTGTCTAGCTGCTGCTCAGGATCTTACGTCAGGTTACCGGCTGTGCAGAAATACAAGAGATGGACAAACCTGGTGTATGCTTGGTCGCTGGGGTTGGGACACACTGTCTTTTGGAATATACAGAGGGTGTGTACTGCGAGCCAGCCGTGTTGATGTGGTACCATTATACCCATCTCCCAGACGGAGAGCTTGAGCTCGGAGGGCTTATGAGACATGGCTGCCGTCTCTGCCTTCCCCCCGTGGCCAGGCCTTCTCTTTCAGACTCTCTCGGTCTTCGTAGTTTTCTTTTCACCATTGTCAGCCTGCCTTGTAAAGGTGAGGACTGAGGGAACCACTTATGAATGTGATATCCCTCCCAGGAATCATCACAGTGTTTTGCTTTGCCTTTTGTGTGCTCAGGAAGTAAGCTCTGTAAGATCCGAGGGTTAATGTCAGTTGCCGTCAGCTTCCGTTGTGAGTTCTCCGGGACTGGCCTGCATCTGAGGCTGTTTTCAGGCAGCAGATAGGTCACCGGCTCAGTGAGCTGACAGCCGCAGCGTGATCGCATCTAGGCCATTCTGCTGCTGGCGCTTCCGAAGACAGCCTTCAAAATGCAAACTTAGCAGTTCCGAGGGTTTAAAATTGCATCTTCCTTTTGCTTCTTGCATTCGGGACGAAGCAGATTACAAAACGGTGGTTCTTAACTCACATCTAGAAAGGAGCAAGTGCACATGTTGAAGAGAGGAGCAACCATGGCAGATGTTGTGGATGACTTCAGATATCCCCAAATAGTTCCCCAGTGGAATGTAGGTCGCAGTGTTTTCTGGGATGACATAGCATCCTTCCACCCCCTAAATGCCTCCTTTTCCCTTTTTATCTATACAGGAACTTGACAAGGAGCTCCCAGTGCTTAAGCCGTATTTTATCCATGACCCTGAAAAAGCCGGGGTGACAGAGGCTGGCTTACGAGTCACGTGGCTGGGCCACGCCACACTGATGGTGGAGATGGAGGAGCTCATTTTCCTCACGGATCCCATGTTCAGCTCCCGTGCCTCTCCCTCGCAGTACATGGGCCCGAAGCGATTCCGCCGCCCGCCATGTACCATAAGTGAGCTCCCCCCAATAGATGCCGTCCTTATCAGTCACAACCATTACGACCACCTGGACTATGGCTCTGTCCTGGCCCTGAATGAGCGGTTCGGCAGTGACCTGAGGTGGTTTGTGCCTCTGGGTCTCCTCGACTGGATGCAGAAATGCGGCTGTGAGAACGTGATCGAGCTGGACTGGTGGGAGGAGAACTGCGTCCCCGGCCATGACAACGTCACCTTTGTCTTCACGCCCTCCCAGCACTGGTGCAAAAGGACCCTCCTGGATAACAACAGGGTCCTGTGGGGCAGCTGGTCTGTGCTGGGGTCCTGGAGCCGGTTCTTCTTTGCTGGGGACACTGGCTACTGCCCTGCTTTCGAAGAGATCGGGAAGAGGTTTGGGCCCTTCGACCTGGCAGCTATTCCCATCGGGGCGTATGAGCCAAGGTTTGTACACACGGATGTTACGGGCTATGAGTCCTGATACTGTGTAATTTGTGATTTTAGTGGTGGGCTTGGTATACATCGATGGAAGTTGAAGTTAGATTCATATTCAATTTTATATGAATTCCCCCCCCCTTTTAATCTCTGGGGGAATCGAAGCTAGCCTGGAGGGGAAAAAAAAGAATTTCTGCACCTTGCCGGAGCCCACACACCTTCCGGCTCACTAGTCAGTGCCCGGAGCCATCTCCTGTTTGTCTTCTTCACACTCGTGGGTGACCGTCTTTTACCTGTGACTGGGAATTCCAGTCCCTGTCCTGTAGGTCTTCTGTGGTTAGCAGAGCGAGGAAACACGTTGGCCCATAGCTCTGTGACGCTGCCAGTCAGCGCACAGAATCTGGTCCTGTCATGCCGTTCCCCCTCTCCCGACCGTGTGCTCAGCACTGACTTTGAGAGCAGTGAAGGACCACACTGTCACTACTGAAGACCCAGAGGACCCGAATACTGTCTCTTAGGACAGGTATGATTTTAGTGATGTACATGTGAAGCAAACGGACTGTAACAACGTGGGCTGGGAAGTTGGCTTCCTGGGTAATCAAATGAGTGCTTATACAAGCAATTAGGGTGGGGGTGCAGGTCTGGATCCTCAGAACCCACAGTAAAAAACCCTGCCTGACATTCCTGGAATTCTAGAACTGAGGGGGCAGGCAGGAGAATCCTGGGTGTTTACTGACCAGACAGTGTAACCAAAGACTTTAAAACAAGGTGGGGGGCCTGGCAAAATGGGTTAGCAGCTGGAGGCACCAGCTACTCAGGGTAAAGCCTGAAGACCCGAGTTTGGTCCCTAGGACCTGCAGATTTGAAGGACAGAATCTGCACCTGTAAGTTCTCTTTGCACACGTGTGTGTCACACGCAAAGAATGAATAAATGTGATCATTTTTTTTCCTAAAAAGGCGGAGAGGGAAATACCTGATGTTGACCTCTGGGCTGCAGGTGTCCTCATACACATGTGCGCATACACGAACACATCACACATACCAGGTTTTGCTTTCCTTTCACAGCATGTGGATATATGTGTGTCATTCAGGCTCCCTAGAAAGAACTGTCTCTAATACAGATACATTGTAGCTCTAACACAGAGTCATCGCATCTCTAACAGACACATTGTGTCTCTAACACAGATACATCGTAGCACTAATACAGCCACATTGTGTCTCTAACACAGATACATTGTAGCTCTAATACAGATACATTGTAGCTCTAATACAGATACATTGTAGCTCTAATACAGATACATTGTAGCTCTAACACAGACAGTATATCTATAGCCTCAGCAGTGCTTGAGACTCACTTGGGTAGCAGTTTGTACACATGGTAAGGGATTGGATAAATCCAGTCTTTTGTTTTCACCCGATATCTATCATTTTATCCATCCGTTTTCTTTTCTTGTAACTAGGGATTGAATCCAGGGTCTCAGGCATCGCTGAGCCATATCTCATTCCTGACAAATTCATTTGTTACCCGTTAAGTTCAGGAAACCATTTTTCTTATCCTTATTATTTGCCTGTCTGTCTGTCTGTCTGTCTGTCTGTTTGGCTGTTCAGGGTGTCTCATCCTCAGACACTGCAGCTGGAATTACTTTTCCCGCGTGCGGTGCTGGGGTCTGAATCCGGAGCCCTGTCCAAGCTAGGACAAGCGGGTCTGTTGGCTTTAGCACCGACGTTTTCATTTTAATAGCTAGAGCAAATAAACAAATATATAAATAAATAAATTTCAGGTAAACGGAAGTTAGACGAGAGATAGGATTGTTTAATAGGCAGTAGACACACCAGGACCGTTTCCGTTCTGTCTTGACTCCTGAGTGTCAGGACCCAGGCAGAATGAGGCTTCTGTCGTCTGCTGAGTGGCTTTGTTTTGGGGTTCCCAGAGGACCCAGCAGCTGCTGACAGTAAAATCATCCTTGCGCTGTTGTAGGTGGATGGACTCTTGGGGACAAGCTCTGGGAGGGCCAGAGCACCTATATGGAGCTCCTCTTGGGCTCTATAGTACTGGTTGGTGGTGGCAGACCAGGATGTAGAGAAAACGAAGAAAATGTTTCTCCTCGGCTAAACTAATGGCTTGGGAAGTAGTAAAACGTGTGTCCTTTGTATAAAAAATAATTTATTCTTTCCTTAGGATGACGTTTTTGTTAATTATTTTCTGGGAGGAGTCTGTGAATAGGTGCTGCAGTTAATGTTTTCGTCACTGCCTTGTTTAACCATCACAGTTCCTTTATGGGGTGGATCAGAGTTTACACTTCACAGACACAGAAAGGGGATGCAGGGATTTGAGGAAACCTTCCAAGGACATTGCAACCACCACTTGAGTCCGGACTCGGACTCTGCTTCTGAAGCCTGGGCAGGCTCCAAGGTGTCAGTCAGTCTTCCAGGACTTGGTTACCTGTCCTCACTTATGAGTCTTTTTGCCCAGCCAACACCTCAGTTCAGTTTTACGATGTTTTAAATAAAATACCTTGGCTGGCATGGGGCTTTCTGCCCTTTATCTTTAAGGTTTGTACACTTTACTCTGTACACTGTTGGTTTTTGAGACAACATGATGATAGTATAGTCCAGTCTTGATTTAGTGTCCCCGTGGAGTGGCAGGGTTATAGATGTACGCCACCGTACCCGGCTGCTTTCGTTTTGCTCGCTTGCGTTGGGTCAGTCTGTGTCTGTGGGGGATCCTTGTTCTATGGTAACTGGAGTTTGGGCTCCAATTCTTTGCCCATTATTTCATTTCTTTGATTCATTACGAAAATTGCAGAGTATCTGCTTTTTAAAGTGATAAGTCATGTTTTTAAAATACAGCATCAGTCAAAAATCAAATATGAAATAAAGCTTGAGACTCTCTTGTTTAGCCATTTATACACACAAGATTTTTGCTTTTTTGCCTCCAGAGAAAAGTGGACTGAAGGGAAATAATTTTACTGACTGTGGATAGGTTTTGCTTCTGTCTAGAATCTTGTTTATTTGCATATATATTTTAAGAGTTATTTACTTTTTTTTTTTTTGAGGCAACATTTCCCTGGCTGTCCTGGAACTCCCTTTTTAGACCAGGCTGGCCTCTAACTCAGAGATCTGCCTACCTCTCCCTCCCAAGTGCTGGGATTAAAGGTGTGCACCACCATGCCCAGTATAAGATTTTACTTTTGATATTTATTGGTATTTGTGTGTCTGTGTTTTGGTACCTACAGAGGTCAGAAGAGGGTGTTAGCTCCCTGGGAGCTGGAGTTATAAGCCGTTTTGAGCCTCTTGATGAGGGTGCTGGGAGCTGAACTCAGGTCTTCCGGAAGTGGGCAGGGCCATCTCTCCGGCCTTGCTTGTTCTCTCACAGTCTTGGCCCGCCTCCAGACAGAGTGGTTCAATTATCACTGCTCGTGTTCCTTCCCTGTGGTTCTCAGTTCTGGCTGCCAAAGCCTAATGCCGGTGTCCCAACCTAGAGCAGTTACATCAGGATAATGGAGTAACTTTTCACTGTAAGTTTCCTGGGTGAGCTCCATTGCGTTTGATGGCTGAAAAGTGGCTGAAAGCAACCCTGCTGCTTGCTGCTGCATCTGCTGCTGATTGGGTGAGATTCCGAGCCTTACTGACATCAAGTCAAGTGAAGGACTGGGGGGGGGGGGGCGTAAAAATAGGCACAGCGAGCTGCTGTTTTCAAATGTAGTCCTGTGAAGAGTTTTTCGGTTTAAATTTTATTAACTATGTATATATGCGTGCCTCTGTGTGTGTCTGTGTGTGTGAGTGTTAAGTGTCCGAGGAGGCCAAAGACATTGGATGTCCTGGAGCTGGGGTTGCTGATTTGTGAGCTGAATTGTGAGCTGCCTGATGTGGGCACGGGCACTGGGAACGGAACTCAGGTTCTCGGCCGGGGTTGTGCGAGCTCTTAACAGCACAGTCACCTCTCCCGATGTGCAGACTGTTAAAAGCTGATCAGATGAGATGGTCATTCGACTCTGGACTGTTTTCCAAGCTGAATTAACAAATTGCTGTTTTTCATCAGGTGGTTTATGAAGTATCAACATGTTGACCCAGAAGACGCTGTAAGGATTCACATCGATGTTCAGACGAAGAGATCGGTGGGAATTCACTGGGGAACTTTTGCCTTAGCTAATGAGGTAAGTGTGATTTAAACAGACAACTCAGCTGTGACCGCGTGTGTGACTGTTGGTGGGATTTCAGACAGCATGCCGTGGACTCGAATTCCAATCAGATATCACGACCACCACGTAAGCTGGAAGGACAAAGCATACTTAATAGTGAAATAACACTTGAGAGCAGTAGGAATAAACCCCATGGCCTGCTGCTTGGGGGCTAACTTTCATAGTTAATGAGGCATGTGCCTCCAACATCCGTGTGTGGTATAGAGAAGGAACCATCATGCCCCCATGCTCTGGATGGCTTATGTTCTGCTAGGAGCTAGAAGATGCGGATGTTGTATACTGGAGGGTGGACATCTTTTATAAAGATCAACTGGTCTCAAAACAGGGAGGAATTAGGAATCGTTTCATGGAAGGAGGAATTGTTAACTTGGCCACAGGCAAGAAGAAAGGTATTTGTTTCCAGAGGAAGGAAGGGCAGAGCATAGTCTGGGGGCAGCAAACATGGGAGAGGAGGAGTTTGTTCAGCAGGAGAGTGGGTGGTGGAGAGTCATGGGAGAAGAGAGCCAGAATGTGGGACTTTCTAGAACTATCTTACCCGTTCAGTTCACTTCCCCCTGTGTTTGTTATCTCCACGAGAGTAATTGGCTTATTTAGACTATATAGGAAGAGCTGACTCTTCCTCAGGGAACTGATCTCCAGGCTCTGCTGGCATGGGTTCTAGAATCAGGAAGTCTACGGAAATCGTCTCTTCACTCCTGGGTTCGAGCCCAAGCAATGCCAAGAAAGGGGTTAGAAGTTAATTTCCCCTGTTTGGCTCTCAGTGACTACTTCTGTCTCCCAGGGCCTCAGGAGACCTGGTGTTTCCTTGCTGTTTTTAACCCTCTTATTCTGCTTTGCTTCCTAAGATACAGTTTGTTCCAAAATTACCTAATACATGCGATGCTCATTTCCCTATCCCCTAATTAAGATGCGATCACCCTGAGTAATGCAGCAGGTCTTTAGCCATGCTGCTGGAGGTGGAGTGGAGTCATGCATGAAAACCTACAGCTCTAGGAGGTTTCCATGTACATGTGAACGTGGGAAGGGGCAAACCGTTGCATTTGCATACCGCTGTTTGATGGCTCTACCTGTTTGCGTGTGTGGATGCTCCCTGTATGCCTTTTGTAGTGATGGGGTAGCAGTGTGTTACTAAACCTTTGTAAGGGAGGGAATGATGGGTCAGCTTGAGCAAGTGGGCAGACAGAAGTGCTCTTTCCTGAGACCATTTCACAGCCAGGCAGTGTGAACACACCTTAATCCCAGCATCTGGGAGACAAAGGAGGTGGATCTTTGTGAGTTCGAGGCCAGCCTGGTCTACACAGCGGTTTTCAGAATAGTTAAACCCATGTAGAAAAACCCTGTCTCAAAAAACCAAAAGTGAATCATTTCTCTTGCTTTAGTTGGGTTTTCTTTTGCTGTGAAGAGACGCCATGACCGCAGAAACTTTTCTAAAGGAAAACCTTTAGTTGGGTCTGACTTAGTTTCAGAGGTGTAGTCCATTGTTGTCATGGCGGGAAACATGGTGCTGGAGAAGGAGCTGAGAGTCCTACATCTTTTGATCCACAGGCAGCAAAAAGAGACTATGTGCCACACTGGGTGTAGCTTAAGCATATGAGACCTCAAAGCCCACCCCCACAGTGACACTTCCTCCAACAAAACCACACCTACTTCAACAGGCCACACCCCTAATAGGCCCTGTATTTAAACATGTGAGTCTGTGGGGATCGTTCCTGTTCAGACCACTGCATCACTGAACCCTCCGAGAATTATGCTCGCTTGCTCCCTGAGCAGTCTGGTCCCCATAAGTGGCCACTTGAGCATCTCAAACAAAACAAAGCACCAAAGGGAGGTTTGCTTATGCCGTACCTCTATCTTTATTTCTTTCATCTTTCCTTCGACTGTTTTATAGTTACCAGTTTTCTCAACTGACACAAAAGCATGGAAGTCAATGGGACTTTTGATGTCCTTAGCCCATAGTTTCTAAATATTTGGTGTTTCGTATAAGCACTGGAAATAGCTACTCACTGTGATATAAGCAGGATCAGAGGTCTGTAACTTGGCGGCACCCTGAAGTCCTGTATGTATGTGCTGGAGCCACAGACTGTACAGCAAAAGTGCAGCTGACGGACCAATAGACAGATCCACGGGAAGTGTATATATACACTGCATATGGAGAACCCTCTTACAGAGCTTCGGGAACACCTGTCTTTTGGAGAGTCACTGTCGATTCTGTAGAACTCTCCTGAAATCATGGCACTTCTCCCTCCTGTAGTATCCCAGCAGTGTATAAATCATTTGCTGAGGTAGCCTGACTTTTCCTGTATGAGCAACCGGATAGCTTGTCCCACACCATGAAGCCCCGGTGTGAAAGCATTCACTCAGCCAAATCTTTGTTCTCATAGTCAGATAGATCTACATAAATCTAGTTCACCACAATTATCCTTATTGACAGGGTTCATTGACAAGAAAGGAGCCCTAGGCAGGAGGCACTGAGCAGAGAGTATGTCTGCTCTCACTGACAAACAGGTCTGGGTGGCTCTGAATTCTCTAGCAGCAGACTCAGGTAGGTGTAATCTACTGACCTTTGCTCTGCCCTAACAGGCTACTAATATTCTGTATATACCCATCATTACCTTGGTTTCAATTAACATATGATCATAGCTCAGGAAATTAACTGTCTATGCCTTTACCCCTAGAGATACAGGAGAAAGGCCTGAGTAGCTAACCCAACTCCTTCTCACCTGGGCGCTGGCAGACACCCTGCTGGAGTTGGAAGCAAAGTCTCCAAGGAGATACCTTTCAATTCAGCCAACTAGACATTGATGAAAATCAAGCACTTTGCCTTCCTCCCAAGCCCGCAGGTTGCTATGGTTACCACGGCTGTGTTCCCAGTCACCAAGGAAGGAAGCAAAAGTGTTCAGAAAGTGCAGTAGCACCGTTGTGTTTTCTACAATTATTAGTCACAAACTTCTGGCATAACTGTTACCCTTATGAAATGTGGTCAATTAGAATTTTGTATTGATTCTTAATTAATCCTATAGACGGAAGTTTCTGTCCCACCTGGTCCCACAGCCATTCAGTTCCAAAGAAACACACAGAGGCTTATATTAATTATAAACTGTTTGGCCTGTTAGCTCAGGTTTATTATTAACTAGTTCTTGTGAGTTAAATTAACCTGTAATTTTTATTCGTGTTTAGCCACATGGCTTGATACCTTTTCTCAGTACAGTGTTCTCATCTTGCTTCCTCTGTATCTGGATAGTGACTGCAGACTGAGCCTTTCCTCTTCCCAGAATTCTCCTAGTCTGGTTGCCCCAACTATACTTCCTGCCTGGCTACTGGTCAATCAGTGTTTTATTAAACAAATGCAAGTGACAAATCTTTACAGGGTACAAGAGCCTTACCCCACAGCACATCCTCCCGGTATCTGCTGGGAGCTTCACAGCCATGCCCCTCTGAGAAGCAGGCACTTGTTTACCTGTTTCTGTGATTCTGTGATTCCGTGAGATGCTTGGAGTTGTTAAATGTCTGTGGAACACCAGAAGAGGAACAGTGCAGAACAGAGAGCATAGGAAGAATAAAGGGACGTGATTAAAAAAGATTCATGCGAGTTAATTCATTTTGTTTACTCTCAGGCCCAATTAGCCAGTTTTTGCCTGTTAATAGCAAATCTTTCTGAACCCTAAGAGGTTTAGTGGATTTATCTCCAACATAAACCTCGATGTGTGTGTATGTGTGTATTAATGTTGGTGTAGCACTCTGTAGCTACATAAGCTAGCGTGTGTTAGCTGACCTGGGTTGTGTCATTACTAGATTCTGCTGGAAGCGGATTGTTAAGCTGTTGACTGTTTTGGGATGCAGTTGTCCAGGGCTGGCCCCTGGCATTTGATGGACCCCGAATTCAGGGGCTCTTTTTCCTCCCCTTGCTTGTTTTCTCCAACTTACTCACTTGCGTTTCCGTAGGTGCCTGATTCCATGACTGTGAGTGTCTTTTTCTCCTCTGTGCTTGGATCCTGAGGTATCAAATCTAAGTCACCCAGAAGTGTTTCTTACCTAACTGTAAGGCTGGTCTCTAGGTGGTTAGAATAGCCAAGAGTTAACCCATGAAAAAGCTCAGATGCTGTACATTATAGGTAGATTAAAGACAGAAAGTCTCCTTCCAGCCTCAACAGTATAAAAACTGTACCAAGTCCTTAATGGCATCATGCTTGACCCTATAGTTAGAGATCGTTATCAGTGTAGGGCGACTGTAATCTATACTGTTGATCAAAACTGGAAAACATGGGTGACAAGAACTTAACAAAAGGAGCTATTTCTCTCTCTCTCTCTCTCTCTCTCTCTCTCTCTCTCTCTCTCTCTCTTTTGGTTTTTCAAAACAGGGTTTCTCTGTAGCTTTAGAGCCTATCTTGGAACTAGCTCTTGTAGACCAAGCTGGCCTCAAACTCACAGAGATCTGCCTGCCGGTGCCTCCCGAGTGCTGAGATTAAAGGCGTGCACTACCACTGCCCAGCAAGGAGCTATTTTTCAATGTGGAAAGATTTTATTATTTTGAAATATTTTTAAAAATAAATTACATCTATTTTTGTGCTATGTGTGTTATAGGTATATGATATTTAATATATATATATATGTATAATAATATATATTAGACAAACAATAGATTCCTCTTATCTGCCATCCATTAATAAGAGGTTATCTCCGAGAGCATAAATAAGGCTTCGTTAAAACCGAAGTCATTCTTTCTGAAAAGTCATTGACAATGACACTGGGACTTGTTTCCTCTGCATATACTGGATTTTTGAGATCCAGTCTGTTTGGATACTCACCTTCCTGGTCCTGGAGGGAGGGGGGAGGAACTTGAACTTCCCACAGGGCAGGAAGCCCTGACTGCTCTTAGGGATGGAGAGGGAGGAGTAGGAGGAGTGGGGGGAGTGGGAGGGTGTTGGGAGGAGGGGTGGAAATGGAAACTTTTATAATTTAATAAACTTTGGGAAAAAAAAAGGAAAAAAAAACCGAAGTCATTTAGCAGTTAGTTGAATACTGTCAGTGGTCCTCTGAATGTGGCCAGAACTATATGGAGGAAATGTCCGTGTGTACATCACAGCCCCAGGAAGTGTTTCCTGGCTTTTATATCTCACTGGTCACCTGTTCTCACTATTGCTGGCTCTTCATCTCTGTCCTCGTGGGCACTGATGCAGGCAGCAGTCCTGCCTCACAGTCCTGCAATAAGGAGATGCAGCCTAGCATCCGGCATGCAATCTAGTTTCTTCTAGAGACCTCCACTTACGTGTAGCTGGGATTGTGCGCCACAGAAAAGAACTTTTTCAGGTTAAGTCAGAATTTCAGACAACTCCGTGATGGCCTAGATTTCAAGTGCAGTTAATGAAGACGTGTTTGGGGCTGTACAGACGGCTCGGTGACGGCTGGGTGATACAGGAAGGCTGTAAAGTTTTAAAGTTTGCTTTGTCTTTAGCCTCAGCTGTTTTATTCCGTCTGGGATGCTGCTGAGGAAAGGGTGTAATTGCTGAGCAGGCAGCCCTTACTGTGCAATTGTTAGTTGTGTCTAGAGTTTCAACAAAACCATAGGGGGAGACAAACTGGGTATTAGTGAAAGAGCTCTTCCCTTTCTCATGTGCCCCTAGTTACCCTAGTTCGTGTCCTGCCCCTTTCACCTCCGTAGCCCGAGTCCTGTCCTCCAGTCATATTTACAGGTCAGCTGTCTCCTCCTGAGCTAGAAGCTCCTCCCTCCCGCCCCCACAGATAGCTCAGCCTTCAGTCCTGGGCACTACAGAAGACCTTCACAGCTCGAATCAAATCACCACACATCCCAAGTGGCCTGGGAGCCTCATGTTTGGGGTGAAAGCCTCAGCTCTGATGTTCTCCTACAGCACCCCAAGTAAGCCAGCCCTTTGGGTGCATATTTAGAGGGCACTGTCTCGGAACGGCCTCTGAGATGATTGTATTTAAAGTAAACCTCATTCCCAGCACTCTTCTCTTCCCAGAACACAGTAACTCCTCAGAGACCTTATTCCTTTGTCTGTGTCTGCATTAGAAGGATAAAGACTGTTGTCTGCTAGTCTGCAACTCTGTGGATCCTACAGAAGACAAGTTCTCATAGAAGGGGAGAGACACACTTCCCAGGGACTATTAGTTCAGAAAACTTTTTTTTTCACTTCCAAATGTTCCAGCGTTTCTAATTAGGGAAAAACAACAATAAAAAACCAAAAGACCCTTGAATGAATTTTTTAAAAAAAGCTATTTTATAGCAGAGATTTAGATTGGGAAATAAATAAAATAAAACATTGGAATGGGGCTGGAGAGGGGATGGGGGATGGGTCTGGGAGAAGGTTGGGGGGGATACGGAGTGAATCTGTTAAATAAATTGTATGCATGTATGAAATTCCCCATATGAAATATTATTTATTTATTCCTGTGTGTATACCTCTGGTGCTGTAATTACACACTCACCAATTTGATTGTTTCACCCACATCACACTGATTCTCTAGTTTTCTATGTGTGTGTTTTTTTTAAAATTTGTTTTCATGTGCATGAGTTTTTCCTGCATGTATGTCTACGTCACCACATGTGTGCCTGGTGCCCAAGGCGTCCAGAAGAGGGCATCTGGTTCACTGAGACTGGAGTTAGACAGTTGGGAACGGCCATGGGGTGCTAGGGACTGAACTGGGACCTAAAGAGCAGCCATGCTCTTAACTGAACCGTCTCTCACAGCCCTCCAGATTTACCTTCATGTTTACCTTCATGCTCTGATTTCTTTATAAACCATTTTATTCTACATTCTGCACTTTTATAATGTACATTGTGTGTGTGTGGAGCATGTGCACCACAGCGAGAATGTAGAGGTCAGAGGGTCAGTTTTATCCTGTGTAAATTACCCGTGCAGGTCTAGGGATCTGACTCTGAACCTTACGTCTGGGTCAAAGTATCTTTGCCCACGAAGCCATTGTGCCCATCCAGTTTGAACGTTTAAGAGCATATTCACGTGTGCAAAAACGTTCTGGAGCGTGCTTCGTGCTGTTCTTACGGTGCTAAGGGAGCACCGAGAATGAGCTGGTCTTAGGGTGCTAAGGGAGCACCAGGGATGAGCTGGTCTTACAGTGCTAAGGGAGCACTGAGGATGTTCTTATGGTGTTAAGGGAGCACTGAGGATGTTCTTATGGTGTTAAGTGAGCACTGAGGCAATCGGGAGTTGGACTGCACTGCATTTTCTGTTTTCGGTACCCTCTCATCCTCTGGCAAAGGGAGCTTTGGGATAACAGCCTTCTTCAGCCATGTTTGTCCATCCAAACACAGATAGAGTCCCACATGCTTACATGCACTGTCATGCAGTCTTCTAGTTCATTTCTTGGTATTGACTCCAGCCAAACTGCAATTGTATTATGTAAGATCCGGATCGGATGTGTGATATAAGGAGACACCACAGTGCATACAGGGACAGTGGGATGTATACTGACAATTATCTCAGTTTTAGTGACTTTGTAATTAGTGACTTACATTGTTGAAGAAGACATATTCGCTAATGGTTCATTTAAAGGAACTATGGAGGCAACTTCTGGTGTTTTAAATTCATTTGTCGTTTGAATGCTTATCTGGAATAGCTCTCAAGGATTTGTATTGTAAGTCTTCATTCTCCTCCCTGTCCCTCCAGCACTACTTAGAGCCTCCAGTGAAACTGAGGGAAGCTTTAGAGCGATACGGACTTAAAGGTGAAGACTTCTTTGTCCTGAAGCACGGAGAGTCCAGATACTTGAATACCGATGATAAAGCTTTCGAAGAGACGTGAAAACGGGACTTTCTGGGAAAGCAAATGAGAAGACTAAGAACTCGCAAATATTACGCCATTTTTCACGTGGAAACGACTTCCGCAAGTGTGTGTTTTGTTTTGCATCCTAACTTGCCAATCGCTAAGACTCACATAAACTGTGAGAGTCCAGGGAGGGTCATTTAGGGACTGTTCAATGTAGACTTAAAAAAATACCAATGACACAAACATTGCAATATATTATTTTTTTTTTAATCAAAACACTACATTTTCGTGGTAGTAGAATTTCTAAGGTTGTGAAAAATGATATTAAAGTTTCCTTTCTTTTTCTGTTATTCAGGGCTTTCTCAAAAAGAGTGGCGCTTACCTACCTACCCAGATTGCTCAGACACACACCTCTTTCTTAGATATTCATATGATAAAATGATAGCCTTGACTTCTGCGAGCTGAGGAAGTGCTTCAGAGAGAGGCAGCTAGGTCACAAGTTCAAGGCCAGCCAGAGCTGCCAGGAAGACCCTGTCTCAGGAGGAAACATTAGCTTCGTGCCAAGTGTTACGTGATGGGCGAAACGATCATTTTGACCACAGCGGAAAGAAGCTCCTTGTATTGGGTGCTCATGTCCCTGAGCATCTTTAACGTCCAAGAAGGCAGCACCTACACAGCTGCACCCCAGACAGTGTAGGTTTGAGATGTAGGGACGTTTAAGTTTCAAAGTCAGACACTCTGCTAAGCACACTGGAACTACAGCAAAGTATTTCACACATCCTAAATGTGAATGCATCATGCACTTGGAATTAAATTTTATTTTTTTCATTTTCATTTTCTGTACACACACACACACACACACACACACACACACACACTTTTTCTTGTTCTCTGAGCTCTAACCCCAAATATAACAATGATTTATATAAGTATGTTTGACAAGACTTGGGTGTATTGTATATTTTTATATTAAATGACCTATAAGCACAATTTACCTTTTTTAAGCCACTGTGAAATAACAGTAGACGTTTAAGCTTCTGAGTGTCTGCTGACAGGAGTCTTTGGCCAGTATGTTTGTTGCAAACGGTCTGGAAGCGGGCTGCCCATGTGTTAGTGAGGATGAATTCTGCTTCTGACTCAGACCAGTGAAATCAACTTTCTTGGCACAAAACACAGTAGGTTTTCTATATACATAAAATATTATATAGGGAGTACTCAATACTTGGATGTATCTGCATGGGTATATGCATGCTACACCTTGGCCTCTCGTTGGAAATTCATCACCCTGAAACAAGTGACTTTGTATTCAGACCCACCCTCACCATGTATGGCAAGAGGACAATGTTAACTAACCTACCTCCAGAGGGAGAATAATAGCTTTTTTATAAAAATAGCACTTTAGAAATCTAAGGAGAAAACCGTCTGATACAGACAGGCACAGTAGAGAGCCATAGCAATGTTTTCGGTAATGCTTTGATCTCACTGCAACCACCAAACTGGAGACTGACTTTCGCGGGTAGTAGCCAATATGAACGATCATCAGAGTTTAGTATTTTTATATGAAATGTCTTTATCATTTTATCAGTCCAGGGGAAATGTGTACTGTAATTCTGTGTGTATATAATATGACTTTGAGGCACCAAAGCACAAGATTCTATTTAGAATCAGCTCAGTAGCAATCTCCCCACTCCAACTGGATATGAATCGGACAGCAGGCCGTGGTCCCCAGCCTCGGGGGACATTGGTCCACCTGGACAGCAGGCCGCGGTCCCCAGCCTCTAGTGTCCACTGGCCCCCTTGCAGTCACCTAGTCATAATGAAAATTCTTACTCACAAAGCTCAAGTCTTTCCCCACGAATGGCCTTGACATCACTGTCCATGTGCAGTCTGTCTGAGGCTGCGTTCTATCCCCTGAACTGCACCTGCCCCCTTTTCCAGACTTCCTCTGCTTACACCTGAGTTCCATGCATTGTGAAGCACATCCAAAACCTCTTAGCACAACCACCCTACCTTCATCTTATTTTTCTAATCTGCATTTCAAAGGATGTATGTGTAAAGTGAAAATAAATTTTGAAAATCCATTCTCCTTTGCCAGTCTAATATACACTGTGAATTGTATCTATCTCTCTAGTCTAATATACATTGTGAATACTGTCTATCTCTCCAGTCTAATATACACTGTGAATTGTATCTATCTCTCCAGTCTAATATACACTGTGAATACTATCTACCTCTCCAGTCTAATATACACTGTGAATACTATCTATCTCTCCAGTCTAATATACACTGTGAATACTACCTCTCCAGTCTAATATATACTGTGAATACTCTCTCTAATCTCTCTTCAAGATCAGTTTCATAGTCCTTGAGGAATATCCTCCCTGAGAGTGGCCTCTGAAGGTGGGTCCTTCACTGGTACGTTATGACCCACAGAAGAGGAAGCTACTGGCATGACTCACTGTATGCTCTTCCTGGGTACCTGTGGAACCCTGCTCTACCCCGACACTCCAGAACCAGGCAGCTGCCGGCAAGTATGGCGTGTCAGACTGAGAGAGGACAGAAGGGTGGGGAGGAGCTCCCAGACCCAGCACGGCGAAAGCTCCTGCACAACCTTCCGACGTCCATTTTCAGTAAACGGCAGATTTTCAAGCCGTTATAAAGAAACGTGCCCTTTGGATCATGGCTTAGTGCTCCTCACTCCAGCACACTGTAGGCTCCTAGTCTTAGTCAACATTTTCCTGTTCTAAAGAGTCTTCCAAGCTGATGTCTATCAATCCTGAGAATACAGCTTTCAGTTTGAGAATATGTGCCTCTTGAAACACCCTAGTCTTTACAGATGTGTTCTGAAGCACCCCTAAAGCGCTCTCTCTCTCTCTCTCTCTCTCTCTCTCTCTCACACACACACACACACACACACACACACACACACACACACACACAC